ATAACAGCAGACTGACTGCTCGTAAAATATACGACAGAACTGGACCACTCGTGAATTTTGTTCATATCTGAAAAAAATCTTAGAATATGAAAACATTAATGAATGCCACAAATTCTCCTAAATCACTCGTACGCACAACTTAAGAACAAATCTGTGCGTACGAAAAGTTCTTGCATGAGGCCCATTGTTTTATAAAGATTTTAGCTTCAGAATGATGGGATTAAAGGCAATGATTGGTGCCTTTTTGCAGCAGGTTTCAATATCAAACATCTCTGTGTGACATTAAATTGTTTGATTTTACAACCAATTATTCACAGTTCTGTAACCATGCGGTCATGGAGGTGGAGATGATCATAACTTCATATTATTAAGCAGACTTTTTTGGAAACAGAAAAGAAATTGTGTAAAATCCTGGTCCAAATTTATAAAAACAAATGTGAGCAAAACGTGGGTAACACAACAATATTTGCTGATATAAACCCTAAATTTACAACAATGTATATTGGGATGTTGACATGTCGTCAGCAGCTGCTGCCATTTTCTTCCCAAACTGCTGTGACCAGATTTTGCAAGGCTGCTCGGTGCGTTTGCTTGTAATTTCCTCCTGCTTCATTATTTCTACGTATTTCAACAAATCGGGCTGCCGTCAGGTAGTTAGCTACAGCCTCATCTTCGAGTTTTCAATTTTTGTTGATGCGTTTTGAAGAGAATTTTTTGAAAACAGGATCAAAGTAAATCACCCGAGTTTTTCTAGTGACCCCTTAAATAGATAAGCTGCCATGAAGAACATTACTTTATCTGCCCTTGTTCCACATTTGATAATGATTTGAAATGTCATGTTTTTTTTTTTAATACGGAATGAAGCTTGTTAGCGAAGTATGTCTTCGTCACATGACACATTTAACACGCTGTCATTGGTTGAGGAGCTTTGTTTACAAAATAGATGTTTTTAAATTTATTTAATTTCCTTGCTTTCTAAGGACACATTAAGTTGATTTGTTGCTGCAATTTGCCTTGTAATAGTATTTTATACCTTTTCTGCTACATTTGCACTGGCTATTACTAAGTTTTATTCATTTTTAGGATACAAGTAGCCTGGTCTCTTTGCCTTCCTACGCAGCTCCGCTCAATTCTAGTTTCCCTTCACTGCTCCGTCTGGGACTTCTCCCATTGAGATGGATTTATCTGGCAGATTTTTAGCCGGGCCAATCAGAGAAGAGAACGTTGACTTTCTGCGCAGTGTCTGCTAGTTATGGTAGCTATGTTAGTTTTGTCTGACAAAGCAGCAGCTCTCATTTAGTCGTCTTGTTCGGCTCAGTATATTTCTCCTCAGTAGGGTTGTTTACAGCACACGCGATTTCCAGTTAGCTTCTTAGCGTAGCCTCCGTCACAGCGACATACGTCGCAGCCAACTGATCCAATCATTTTAAACTTCAGCAGAGGCCACGCCTCCTGCAAGAAATCGATTCTCTATGCATCAAGTCCAGACCCTTGTACGAAGCAAAGTGAAGGACAGGGTCTGGTTTAAACCAGGCTAGGATACAAGATGCTTCCTACAAAAACCAGAATGGGAATCTTTTCCTAAAATTTCATGGCGATATCTTGAACACTGAGGAAGTTATGAGCAAAAACAGAAAACAGCAAGGTGAAATGGTCACAAAGGCTCCATTGGTTCTGCTGTGAACTGCAGCAAGAAAACGAGCTGATTTCACCTAAACAAACATCAATAACTTCCCTCACACTTGAGATAATCACGTGATTTTGGTGTTACTTTGTATGGTTTGAAATGTTCTTTTGGAATCCGCTGTCAGATTTATTATTAGTGTAGGATTAAAAATGTATCCACATTACTGTATACTTCTGAGAAATATTAAAACAAACAAAACAAAACAGACTTGCATCATTTGCTTCATCGTGTCTGTCAATGTCTATAGCGCAATGAGATAAAAGGCAAAAATCAAATGTATGTAAGGACAATCAATATTGAAGGATTCCCCGCTAAAAACCGTAAAACCCATTTTATTATGGAAGAACAATTCATTTAAAGTATATTTACAAAGACATACAACTGAACGTCCATGTTTTAGTCAAATAAAAAGGCAACATAGTTGTACTGTTTTATAGTTCCTAAATTTCTCAGCTCATATCTGATGATGATAATTCTGGTTCTGATGCAAAATGATCCAAAAAATAAAGTACTTAAATAAGGTTTTAATGACGTGCCCTTCAACTAAATGATAACTGGATAGAAAGTGGTGTCCAACACAGTTTTTCACAAACTCCCATTGCTCCTAATTTCATCTGAAACAATAAGCCACTTCAATAAACTTTTCAATTAGAACAAACTTCCAGGTAATAAATGAAACTGTCACAAAAAATAAGTTGCACTATTCAACGCAATCACTGCAAGCTTAACACTCTTTTGCAAAATAGGACAAGTTTGATCAAGTACTGATCAATGAAGCTTATAAAAGATGAAAACAGATTTTGTGGGTGCCTTAAAATTTCTTATGAACAACTCATATTTCAGACATTAATTAACCCATTTTACCTGTCAGAATTTACATTTTAGGTACTGAAAATACAAAGATAAGCATTTCTGATGCAATTTAAAACACACAAAAAATTGTAAAATATTATGACTATCAAGTATTTATGTTGGAATTACAACGTCATTTAAATATAAAGAATAGTTTTACTGATTGACATTAACTAGATTAATCTGACTGCTGTGTCATTTTAGGATAAAACTGGATATTCTACAGTTCAAAGAACTACAAAGCTCATTTTAAACTTTAACATGTACGCGTGGAGCTGAAAGTCAAAAACACATAAATGAGAAAAAACCATTCATTAAAGTATGATATTGAAAGTGTTGATGATCTAAACTGTTTGGGGTTATGTGACTACCCAAATTGTAAGAGCTGCACAGACACTGGATTTTAAAAACACCATCTTGAATTTATGGCTTTTTAGATACGTTAGTTTTCCCTAATACAATGTGATTTGTGGAGAACTCGAAATAAATTTTATATTAGTAGTAAAAAGCTTAGCTCAGTTGTGAGTAGTAGCAATACGGTTATTTGACAGTAAACATGCGAATATATTCATAAACAAGTGCGGTCTGATTAAATGATACAACGGCCTGCCATATAACAAGACTCGTGGTGAAGTGAACTACTGCTAACGGCCTGCTGGTTTATGTTTTATACGAATCTGCAGCATGAAATGAAAAGGCGAAATACTGAACAATGTTTTTGACGATTAAAGCAAAAGAACCGTGGACATTTTCTAAAAATAAAACATTTAAGCCAGTTTAACCAGTTCGAGCTGGAAAGCCATCACGTTACCTTAGCATCTTAGCATAGACACGTTCTACAAACTTAGCAACAAAAAAAGCATGTCGGTTTCAGACTACTTTTTTTTACTCTACTAAAATTATTGAATAAAATATTACACATCAAAAACATTTTTGACAAAACAAGGGATTTGATAATCGTCAAACACCTCTTTAAGCCCACGGGGCACCTTACTTGATGTTGGGCCGAGTTCTGACGGTGTTCCGGACTGAGAAGCGGCGGGCTCCGGCTGTGGTGTGCCGCCTGTGGACTCCCCTGCTGAGTTCAGTCCATCTCTGTCTGCTACAACACCAGTTTTCCCTGCTCTAAAACAGCCAGACTTAACCCCGGCTTCAGGGGTCTTTCTTGCGACTGTCCGCATCATCCGGCAGGATGTGGTGGGCATTCTGACCCTCGGTCTGACCCTGCGGCGGACCTCCGAATCCGCACAGAATCGGCACCAACTACATTTCAACCCGATTTTGCACAGCCTCTTCTGCTTCTCCGACATGTCGCTGCTTCTAGTGTTTGGTTTGCTCCGTTCATACTTGCCTCTGGTGGTCGGTCCGCTTTGTTTACGCTGCATTTCATCTCCTGTGCTAAAGTGAAGCTCGCTCCTTGTGGCTTTCTGCTCCAGCCTTCCGCCAACCAAGAGACCGTCACAGACCGCGTCCTTCCCGTTTTCTGCTTCCTTTTGGTGGATTAAAAGAGTCTTAAATGGTTCGTTGCTGTCGTCGGAGCCCATGGCAGCGTCTTCCTTTGATAAGAACTCAGAAACCAAGTTTTTCTCCTGTTTTGTTGACTCGGCGGCTCCTTTAATCTCAGGTTTGGGAGGTCGCCTCTGCGGCACTAGCTTGACTCCCATGAAGTCCTTTAGCGCGACTCGGTTGAGTTTGACCCTGCTAGAAGAAGGCAACATGCTAACCATTAAAAATGTATCTGGACTTGTAAAAAAAAAAATTTATGCTAAAGTTTTAGTTTGCTCACACAGCGTAACGCTATCTACGCTCATCCCAAACCGCATCACTCACTTTCGGTGAGGTTGGCTTAACCACAACGTGCTGACTCGCAACACTGCGCATGCGTAACAACTCCTAATTGGAAGACACCTGTTAAACGTGTAAAAGGCAACAACATTGTTTTAGTCTTTAAAATTAAGATGTTATAAAGTTTCTTTAAGTTGTGTCCTGCAGGGGTTTTCAAAGCTGGGATCGGGAACACATTTTGGCTCCTAAAACACTAAGTTGGGGGATCCTGAGATGATCTCCAGACATCAAACAAAATTTAAAAATATATTTGCACTAATGTGATTTTACAATAAATGTTACAAAAGAAAAGAAACCGGTAATAAGTAAAAATAAAAGACTAATATGAGTTTAATTGTGTTTTCATTACACCATTATTTCCTTTTTTAGAGCCATATGTGTTGTTAGGCTAAAGAATTTCAGAGTCACAAGTTTTGGCATTGTTTTTGTCAAAATCACACTGAACTACTTGTTTCATTCTGCACTAAATTATTTTCAGTCTGTACAAAATTACATCTTTTATTCATCTATGTAAAATAAAATCCTTGTTTAGACT